GAAGTCATGTGGCCATTACACAATACAAAACTGTAGAAGAATGGGACACCTTTATTAGACCACTAAAAATCAAACAATTCACACAAGCTTTCACGGAATAAACGTTTCCACTTCATCAGGCAAACACCAGTAACTTGTGAGTGGTTCAGAAAAATTATAAATGTCTCGAAAATAGATAGCAAAGATAGCCAGGCAAAATCTTCTTCTTAAGGTGTGTTTAAAGCTGGCTATAGGCAGGATGTGGGGATATGGTGTGATGTTTTGCCCCATCCCATGTGTTTGGAAATCCCTATAATATTCAGCTCATCACTCTGCATAAGCCTTCCCCTAGACTACCTTGCCCACTGCATGTGTGAGCCAACCTAGTGCAATTAATAATCTACCAAACTGTATTCTCTCTGTAGTGATACAAAGCATTTTCCATAACTCTCACTCCTGCTCCAAATATGGACTCTTGACTATACTGGATACTGTTCTCTCACCTTCCCACTCAAGGCATTTTGCTGCCTGAAGCAAAGGCCTAGATCAGTGATGGCGAACCTGTGGCACGCGTGCCACACTGGCACGCAGAGCCCTTTCTGTGGGCACACGAGCCATAAGTCGCTGGATCGCTACTCTCCCCCCCCCCCGGGCCGCAAAAGCCGGCTGCAGCCACAGTGCTGGTGCTTCAACAGGCGGCAGCTCAGGATCCGGAGTAGCTGGCGCTGGTGGCAGATCCAGAGTGATGACTTGAGGCACTTCCGTGCCCCGGATTCCCCCCTTCTACCACCACTTCCGGTTCTGCCACTACCACTTCCGGTTTCGCTGCTGCCGCCACTCACTGGGTTGTTGTTGTTGTTTCCAGTTTGGGCACTCGGACCCTAAAAGATTCGCCATCACTGGCCTAGATGGTGCACCACATCCACTGTATGAGGACAAGTTGACTGCACAAGCAAACTGAATCTGACCTCAGCAATGACAATGGACCAGAGCCCTTCATACACCCGAGACCAGCATGCCAGTTTAGGGACTGTTAGACAGACTAAGTAGCACATCAGATACCATCCTCCAAGTGCCAGAAAAAGAACAGTTGAGAGCTGCCAGAGGCTGCTGTTTTGCTCTTTCTAATGGTACGGCTGGCCCCGTTTCCGACCAGCTCAGCTTCATTATCACTGTTGCTCTCTCATGATTTGGGGGGCCAGGACTCCACTTGAACGGAACACAGTGCTTAAAATCTTTCCTTTCAGCCATCTTGGCAGGAATCCACGAGGCCTATTACTGATTAAACATAACTTCCATGTCTCCTTGAGCCACTACTGATAAACGTTTGGGCTTTTTCTCACAACATACACAAAACAAGACAAAGGTTTAAAATTGTGGCAGAACGAGGCGGCTCTGGTTTTACACAATACAATACATACATGAGAGGATACTCACCAATCTGTTTTCGTCAAACACTTCAAAAAGGAGTCTATGATTAGATGGATTAACCTACAAGATTTAAAAAAAAAACACAGTTTAATCCATTTATTTCCTTCTTTTAAAAAGCTTTTTAATTGATATTGTGATTATTTGATTCAAGGTTCCAATATACCTGCAGCATAATGCTACACATCAGAGATAAGGAACATCACCTACTCGGGGACTTTCCTATCTGACTCACATGCTTTTCTCCTATTATTACCAATCACTGATCAGTGATAAGAGACTATTTAAAGCCTGGAAAGCAGCTGCAGGCAGTTGAGCTCTGGTCGGTAGAAGCAACACCCACAAAATTCATAAGGGCTTATTCCCCAGTAGGAAAACTCTCTTCCAGATGCTGTTAGATGGAGAAGCCTATCATCCTTTGCCATTGGCTCCACTATCCAGGGTCAGGGAAAGGTGTCTGAATAACATCCAGAAAGTGACAAGTTGCCCACTTCTGATCTGTGTTTAGGTGAATTTAAATAAGACAATATTTTTGAATTACCCAAGGGCGGTCAAAGCTACAGCCAAAGTAAGGAGGTGAATCAGAGACACACACTCTAAGAACTACCTTGCCTCAACCACACACCCTCCTGCAGAAAACCAAACAAACAGAGAATGCTGGCTGATCCATATGCGTTAGGGACACAGAAAGCTGCCTTGAATTGGGTCCCATCACTGCTCCATCTTGCCCAGTACGGTCACCTCTGACTCACAGCAGCTTGCCCAGATTTCAGGCAATATTCTTTCCTAGCCCTATCTGGAGTTCGCCCAAGTAACCGAGCCCTGCTTAACTTCAAAAATTTGACAAAGCTGGATACGTTCAGGGTGATACTATACGATGAAAGTGATAACATTTCCATTTCCATAACACTTATAAAGGAACAGCAGGATTTTGTACAGCTTTATTAGTAGGCCTGGCTTAAGGCTAGAGTTGTCAAATTGCAACCCACAGAATACATCTGTGTTTCAGAAGCTGGGAGATTCAAAACAAGAAGAGGAGGCAGGAACAGCTTACCTGCATATCTTTCTCTCCTATGCCCTGTAGTACAATTTATGTATTGATTTAGTTTTAACAATGAGCCCTGGTTCCCAGCAAGAAAAGACAGGAAGAAAAGCAAAGGTATTTGCTAGTAATAAGTGGGATCCTCCAAGGTTGAAACCGGGTGAATCTGCCCAAGACCAAAGGTACAAGGAAAAGACTTGGCATTTTCACAAATAAATTTCAAGCACCTGCATAAATTGCCTGGTTTCTCACTTTGATAATTTGACGACTAGGTTATTTTCACAAATGTAAATAGACAGTGGTGCATTAAAAACTGGCTAGATTTAAAAAAAAACACTCTACCTTGATATTTGATAACAAGTTCTGTATTGCCAGAAATTGGACTTTTGGGGGCCATAAGAAGTTGTAGTTAAAAAGGGGGGCCAACTTCCCTAGTTCTGTTCATCAAGTACTATATTTTATCTCATTGAATGAACCTTCTCATGAAGATTATACTGAGTGTCAATGATAATGGCAGAAAACTACTCACTGCAATATGTTTCAGTTATGAACACTATAGTCAATGTAAGCATCATGACCAATCTC